CCTAAATTAGAAATAAATTGTATACTATTTCATTTAAGGAGTAGCCAAAGAAATTTTCTATTCTGACAGCCTCTTAAGTGAACATTCTGTAAAAACCTTATGCTTCACCAGCAGTCTGGGTTTTTTTATATGTGAAGTTTTAAAACATTTATTTTCTGCCACTATTCCGAATGCATTTATTTTGATATTAGCATATGCTAGAATACTTCTATTAGGTGTAATTCTGCAAGTTTCTTCATTGTTCTTAGGTTTTCTGTTGTTCGCTACTATACAGTCCTTGCAATTGTACGCTGATTTCTGCAGCTTACAATGCCGGTCTATTTTTTTTCTTTCATGAACTAAGGTTGTGTAACCCATGACACTGACCTCAATTTGAAACTACAGTGGATGAAGCAGGGATTATTTCTTAAGTTAAATTCTGTCTGAAGTATAGGTTATGTGAGCACTGGAAATGCTCTGTAGGACTTAAAGTTGATGACAGAATACAGGTATAGCTTTCAAAATATGACAGTTAATAATACAACAGTTTTGACACGCAAAAGAGCAGGAAAAAATCTTTCTGTTTTCACTTATAAGAGCTGCTAAATGATTTTTATTTTCGATAGTCTGATGTCATCTATCTGCTTGCCTAAACTATAGTACGTTCACTGTTTTCTAAGTTAACTCTCAGTTTAGTATTTCAATCTGATTCCATATATTTAAGAAGATAGTGAGGTTCTGCTTTGCCTTGTACCATTACAGGTTGCAAAGGAACACAGAACTGAATTTTGGCTTGGCAGCTGAAAAGAATTTATCTTCATTTTTGGTCATGTAATTTCCTTCCCTATGTTGGCTTCACAAGATGAGTATGGAGTTACTGTTATAGTTACTCATTCTCATTAGGTAAATGTTTTTAATTCTGCTTATTATCTTTTCTTGTTTTCAGATGTTTCTTCCCCTTTTAGCTTTCAATTGTCCAGCATAAGAACGAAGAAATTCGATACAAATCAGTTGATGTGGAAGAATAGCCTTTTCTGTAGCCATTTAAATGCACAAGTAGGGATTGTAGTATGAGCCTCCATGTTGCTAGACGAGTATTGATTTTTTTTTTCTGCTTAAGTAATACAAACTCTTTAAAGTCAAGCTAAAAAATACATTGCAGTCCCACCACTATGGATTGCTATGTTGTATACCTCACAATAACAGTAGCATTCTCTAATGAGGTTTATAAAACTAAGCTGCTGTAAATTTATAAGAAAAGACATTTCTCTGTTTCCAGTAAGTAACCATTTTGGATGCAACAGTGGCATTTACTTTGGAGAAATGAGTGGTAACAAATTAGAGCAAATTCAGGACACTAATGTTTGAGGTGTTGCCTTTTTATGTAGTTTGCTAAAACTAAAATCATATTTGTCCAAATGTTATTAGAGTTGATGCTAACCACATGTAAACATTCACAACAGAGGCTACAGTTTATGAAATTAGTCACTGTCTTAAATCTGCAGTAAACTAAACCACAGCCATAAATCTCCTTTTAATTTGGATATCCTTTAAATTAAGTAGTCTAAAAGGTGAAGGTATAACTTAATTCAATAAAAAGGTGACTGCCAGGCTGAAAATTCTCTCTTTTTTTAGGAACAAATTTTAAGAAGCATCACTGGGACTGGTCTGAGGTTTGAGTTACAGTAAGTCAAATACACCATAGAGTAGGAAAGTTTGTACAGTAGGCCAATGGATATGGATGTAGTTTTACTTCAGTGTTCTGTCTCTGTTCCTTCTCTTCTGAAATACAGAAATACAGAAAGAGTTTGTCCTTTGGCTTTTATCATTTGATTGATTTGTCCTGATTGAGAAAATGTGGTTGAATTTAGCTCAAGTTGAGTTAAAATTAGCTTGTCCTGCCTGAACTGAAATTTGACCTTTTTGACTGGAGTTGATGTAGGTTGACAACTTGAATAAATACATCAATGTACAAATACATGGTTTTTGCAGAAACCATTGAGCTTTCCTTGATGATATTCTGTGCTGGCTTGCTGGCTGCCATCCAGCTGTTAGCTAGCCATCGTGTGTTTTAGCCATACAGCACTGAACCCCCAAGTCCCTGCAACTGAGCAGGATTTTATAGGTAAGGCTTGGCAGTGTGCTACTATTTTACAATTGATTCATGCTTGGCACAAGTGTAGTATGCACAAACAATTGTTTGGTCACAAAAAATGTTGAAAACAATCCATGTTAGTCTGAATTTATGCAAAAATGTTATCCTGCAGCTGAATTTAGAGGAGAAAAAAGATCACTTTTACAGTACAAGCTAATGTATATTATTAGTAGTACCCAACCTAAAAGTGACAGTTTACAGCTGACAAAAGACCAAAGGAAACAGAATCAATCAGAGATCTGAACCTCAGGGGATCTGCTTGGTAATGGCTTACTGATGCTATGAGATTCTCAGTTGGCTGTGTTTCATATGCTCTTTGCAGGGGTATCAATGACCATATAGTGTGTAAGAGACTAGCCACTCAGGCTTTGAGAAATGCAGTTCTCTTCACTAAACTGCCTTCAGGTTTTTCAAAATCCTTTAGGTCTATATCAATGTCCATTTTAGAGACTCTGAAAGTGACCTGCTCCACAAAATGGTTCTTGGCAGCGCTAACTCTGGTGTATGGTTGAATAAGAAGAAAACACTGATCCAGAAGAATGTGCTTAGCACAGGCACTGCAGAATCACCTAGCCACCTTCTGGTTAATGTTAAATGTGACCTTCAGATAAGTGGAACTAAATTTCGTTACCAGTTTATAATTCATTGTATGTAAAATTGTAAAAGTTTTCCTACCAAACAATACTGATAATTTATTCGCAAAAGAGAATGCTGCTCTACAAGTTTTACATTTGTGGGTTGGGATTAAAATAAATCAAGTGCTGGCATGTTTTGCTTATTTTTCTGGAAATAAAATTCCTTTTTTTATACTAAGGGACAAACACAGATAATCTTCCCCCTTACTATCATGTCGATACCAATGTTAAAATCTGTAATGATCAGAGTCTTGGCAGTATTTAATTTCCAAACAAGCTGAAAGTGCATGGCAGATCTGGGAATAGTAGTAGGGATGTAATCAGAGAAGGGAAACCTCTCTCTCCTCCTGTGCCAGGCAGAAAGACAGGTGTTTAATATGATAGCATATGACAGAACCTAAAGCTATGTCACTAAGTATGCCAGTCTGATCTCTGTATTGTCTAATAAATAAAGTTGATACAGACAACGTTTTTCTTTTATCTTTCATTTTCATAGTGTGGTTACAGATTTGTTTTCAGAACACTGAGGAAGGATTGAATTTACAACTTTCATCGTCGTATTCCCTTTAAATGGCAAATCATTATAGGGAGAAAAAAGGCAAAAAAAAAATATCTACAGTCACAGTTGTTATTCAATAAGCTATTTTCTTTAGCTTTGAAGTATTCTTTTTGCCATTGCTTTGCGTTTACATCCAACTGTCTATTGATTATGGCTTGGTTACCTGCACAAATATGAGGGCAGATATGAATCTGATTATACTTCAGAGAAATTTTCTGATTTGCAAACAGGGTCATTTTAACTAAATGCTAATGATGCAGCTACAGTTGTGAGGCTGGAGGTCATAATAGATGAGCTTTTTAGTTCTTTTAAATGAGACATTAAAGGGTGATGAAAAGCTATGAATCACTTTGCCTTAACTTTAATTCCCAGTGGCTACACTTCTGATAATACTGGTGTGCAAATATAGGCATGCTAATGTGTGCACAGAAATGAACACAGACCTCAGGCTGAAATCGTGATGAAAATCAGAAAATTCAAGTTTGTGGTTCAGGATTTATAAAAGATCTCTGCTTATGGCTACAACCTGGATAATTTTTTTCTCCTGAAGTTACAATGAAAGTATGCATAAGCAAAGGCAAAAATATACTAGTAATTAATAATTTTCTGCCTAAATCTGTATTGTTAATCTTTTTTTTTGGGGGGGGAAGAATCAATTCCTTTTATATTACAGTTTTATAGCAATTTTCTCACTTGTAATGTATGAATTATTAACAGAGATACTCAGTCTCATATGGAAGCTGCCTAGGAAATAATCTCTTGGAATTAATCTTGGGGCAAGCTGCAAAACTAATGTTTCATGCTTTTTATACTCAGTAACATACTGTACTTCAGAGGTAAAAGCAATTGATTTCCAGCTTAACTGTCCAATTAAAACTTTTCCGATTGTCATGAGTGGGAGCAGGGTAATTCTTTAAAGATCAGCAAATTGTATTCCTTCCCATAGATACTAAGTGGCGGACAGGCCATTTTTACAAATGCCTATTACATTCAAAAGAAATCCAGTAAAGACTACTATTATGCAAAAATTTGCAGTTTCTAGAATGAACTCTAAAATGCACAAAGGAAAAAAGTCTAGACAGGGAAAATAATGCTGTATTTTAGCCTACAGAAACCTTCTATTCCTTTTGAATCCACAGATGACCTGCTAGAAGAAGTGTGGCTGCTGTAATGTGGAATCAGTGTGCTACATTAAGGACATGTTGCTCACAATTTATTGTTCTTATCCCTTAAGGTTTCCTTTTGGGATTATGTCATGCTTTTTGCAGTTATTTGTGGTTAGTAATTAATATCCTCCAGCTCTGAAAGTATCTAGAGCTGCCACTGTACTCTGTGAATTTACTCTGTTTCTGCAGTTATAATACGCACTCTGGTATGGCCTCTACAACCGTTTGTGTGTGGAGTGCTCCTATAAATAACCCTGATATTCAGTGTTCATATAGAGCTATGGGACCTATTCTTCATGTAAAGTGACAAGCTGATAAATGCACTGCCCTCAGATAAGCTCCACTGATTGACAACAGCAGTTGATATGGGATAACATCACATGGGCAAATTTGTGACAATAAACTCTAACATACCACGGTGTTTGGAGAATGTGATTGGCAACCAATCATTTAAAACATTTAAAATACAATTTGATGTACTTATATCTCTCTTACAGATCACTTACTTTGAGACGTCTGAGTGTCTATAAACTTCTTTATCAAGGCGTCAGTAGTCTGTGTGTAAAGGCTAAGAGCGTATCTCAGGGACTGTAGGTCAGGGCTCTTTTCCAGGAAATTCTTTTTCAGCCCACTTCCTCCAGCATGGAAGTATTGCTAAAATGAAAAACAAATATGGTCATTCAGAGAGGCAAATTATCTGAGAGAGGCCTCAGACATACAATTTTAAGTAAAATTCTTACACAAACTTGTAAAAATAACACCTAGCATGTGTAGCTAGATTTACAATTATAGCAGTTGAGGTAACTGTCATCATCTTTACTACAGAGCTTCTTTCCAAAGGTAAAAATTTAAGACTTGTGAGAGCAAAAAAGATACAAAATTTTAATTTTGGTCTTCATGATCTCAAGTATTTATATGTCAAAACTGGATATATATATTTGCAGGGTTGTTTTAGGTTGTGGAGAGTGGAATCAGTTTTAATTCTTTACCTAAAAAAAGATCTCTAAAATCAACGCATGGTTTACAGCACAAGTAAAGAATATATTCTTTCTAAGGGAAGGGGGAATTTTGTTAAAGTTTTAAGAGAGAAGATCCTAGAATATGAAGTTTTGGATCAGTACTGCACTATAATTGTGCCTGAAATTATGATTGTGCTTTGGGAAATTATTAGAAATTCCATGGAAGTTTCCATGGTGATTATCTTTTTTGATTCCAGTTTTGACCTGTTTTACTGTGGATATGCAGAAAATGCATGTGTCATCCTTGAGTGACCACATTAGGATTTCCTGGACTGTGAAAGAAGAGAATGGAAGAGAAAAGTACTGCCCTTGAAGATGGGGAGTAAATTTCATCCTTCAAAAGCCGATTTCCTTGTTGTACAAGACTTGATCATGAATATGGCCTCTTATTTATATCTTCAATTTTATACTTAATTAGCTGCCTCCTTACCTTCCTGATGTGCTGTCTCTTCAGCAGCAGATATTAAAATATGCTGTTATTCTATAAATTGATTGCTTTCAAATTATTTACCCCAAGTGAAGATCCAGGCCAAAGTGAAAAAGACTGATAAGTACATTAAATAATATTCCTTAACGGTTTCTTTTGACTTCAGAAACCCAACCTGTGAAGACTGTATGAAAGTCTCCACTCTTTCATTAAAAAAAAAAAGAGACTTTGTTAACCTCTTTACTTTTACCTTTAGAAGCATAATGCAATAACCATAACAGGCGTGGAAGCGAAAACAAAGTTTTCAGAGCATCTCACCTGGCCTATGACCTGATCCTTTCATCCTTCCAGAGAGGTCAAACCCTAGAGTTACTTTATCAATTACCAATAAATTAATTTGTATTTCTAGTAATGAGATTAGCACCAGGTAAGGTTGAATGGATTGTCTCTAATATGGCTCATTTAAAAATCTAATGTAAAACATTTACTGCAATCATAAGATTTTTTCTAAAGTAGTTTTATGCATTACTAACATCTACATCAACAAGATGTTGGTAATGCATAAAAATTAATTTATTCAGAAGTGTTTTTAACAGGTGTGTGATGAATATGACTTTTTGTTTTCATTGAAAAGGGACCAACGTGTAGAATAATTAAACGGCATCTTTAAAGTAAATCAGATTATTTAGGAGTGACACTAAATTAGGTGGTGAATTCCAAACTGTAAAAAGTTGATAAATTCAACTGGACGTTGAATTTAAAATAGTGCATAGTAACGCATGGTATTAAAAGCCTTGTTTTCTGGTGTGCTATAAAAAACGTCATACATGTTTGCAGGAGAGCGCAGCTGGGAATAACCACACTTTTCAGGCCCAGTGTCTCCTTTGTGGGAGAAAAAGAGGTTATGCTGCAACAGAATAAGGATTTAGCCCAGCTGCTTCAGCTGCACTAACTCTAAACTGTAAAGGAACAGAAGAATCAGAGAAGCTTTGGCCACCAGTTCCTTTAAGGGAACATGTTCTGTCTGCAACTGGTAGAATAATTTTTCTAACTTTTATGCAAGCAGAGTATTAGACATTCGCTCTCGAGTCGATACAAGGGGCTGAGGATCAAATGGTTCTTGACACATTAAAGGGATCTTTATGCTTCTAAGGGACCATTCTATATTAGAATCTGTCGTTTATGTCAGTCATGTTCTTGGTCATTCCAGCACAGAACAATAAAACATGTAATGCTGTACCTTTATAGTAGCCAGTGCTACTTCCATTATTGCGCACTGCCTCAGGGTCAGGCTTCTGGCTTCCTCTCGAATCACATGGTCCTGCAAAGCAAGTTAAGACGGCAGTTGATTTTGGAAGAGAGACAGCGTTGTGGCCTGTCTATTCTTGGAAAAAAAAAAAACCAAAAGAAACCGACAAATGCCCCCCAAACTGCTATGATTAACAGGGATTAATTCAACTTCAGACTTCTTTTACAACAAATTATAGCCTAGAGCAATCATGTTGTCTCTTGAAAACATAGATTGTAGAGAAAAAGAACCAATGTTTAATACCGAGCATCTGTGTAGCTTTCTTTCTTTTCCTAGAACATATTAGTTCTCTGTTCTGGGGTGGGTGGCGAAAAGGTTACGTTTTAAGTTTAAATAATTATATTAGATGATACTGAAATAATTCATTTTATTAATGAACCTGACAGTTTAACTTATGTTTGCTAATGACCCATGTTTAAAAAGAAAGGGTTTCCTATTAGAACATAAGTTAAATAGAGTCATAAAGTGACAATACTCCTGTGAAATCTTTGTCTAAAATAAGCATCCTATGATTTACTTAGGCAACATTTTAACTCCTCTAGCAAACTAAGCAATTATTCACAGAAGCAGGAATTACCACATTTCTGCCCAAATCTGAAATCCTAATGGCAAAATTGATTGGCAAACAACTGATATCAGTATCAGATGTCTAAGCTCTCCATCAAGTGTATTATGGACTCCAGTAATGTAGTGCTGATGAGTTTATTGTAGAGGTAACATGCTATGTTTCAATACATACCATAAATAATACACAGAAAAAAAATTACTAGTAGTCCCACCTTATTTTCAGAACTGGTTCCAGAAGGGAACACAAAGATCTTGTAATTTATTTTTTTTTTTTATATTTAAGGCCTGGTTGTGCAATATGGGAATGACATCATCTTGACCCATCTAGTGATCACTTTAGCATATAAACATACAGTCTTCTATTCTTAATTTGGTTTTGATGAAACTGTAAAATCATTACTCACCTATGAACAGTTACTGCCATATTCAATCTGATTATAGTAAATAAGCACAAGAATGATGCATGAGGCTTGGCCTCACAGTCACTAATATTTCATCTATTTTTTTCATTAGAGCAAGCCATTCACAGCTTCATTTGGCTCCATTACCTTGAGTTTTGACAGTTGTCCAAGATCTTTGGCTGCACTGAATATCATCTGTGGCCCCTGTAATCACATTGAAAATTCAGGAAACAGATTCACTACAGTGTGTTTGCTTTTTATGTCAACACGATCTTATTTTCTGCTAGGACATTGGCCAAAGTCACTGTTTTGCAAAGCTAAATGAAAATTTCAATTACACGAGACATATTTTCATCCAGTTGATAAGGCCAAGTAGTTGAATGCCTGCAGCATGATTCCCTCCAGTATCCTATACACGATACAAATATTGCATATTCTGTTGATAGTGGTTTTGTGTGCTCCTGTCTGCTATCTCATTTTGTATTTAATATTTTTAAGCTAAGGCTGGGATTGTTGTCAATGTGTCAATGAGATATTTGTCCATAATCATAGCTCTCAGGTGCTATGCTAATATAAATAATCATAATGGGAAGTGAGCAGCCCTGAGAAACCTGCAAAAGCTTTACTGTCTACGGTGAAATCCTCAGCTGAGTTAACACACAGCATAACAGCATACTGTTAAGCAAAAGTCTTTTTTTTTTTTTTTTTTTTAAAAAAAGATACCAAAGTGTTATGAAGTTAAACCAATATTTTATGATAGCCAAATCCTGGCATGATACCAAAAGCCAATGCCTACAGGTTTGTCTTAGACAAACAGAATCCTACTATAATTCCATTCTCACATTTTTTATCACAATTATGCCAAGAAATATAATTACTAGTGCAGTTACTTGGCAGTTCAGCAAGACATAGTTCTAAATGTCTAGATTTCAGGAAAAAAAAAAAGTCAGTCCATCTTACATAGCACAATACAGAACAATTTTTCATTAGTCTTTCTGTTCCAAAAGATTTCAGCTTCCAGACATAATTTTGCTTCTGTACAGTTCAAGTGCAAAAGATATAATATAGAACTGCAGCTTAAATTTTCATTATTTATTAGCAGTGAGAATGGTAAGATAAAAATGAAAATTAAAAACAAACCCTGCTTCTGAATGTCTGTGCCTCTCAGCCTCAGAGAGAAAGTAATAGTCAAGGCTATAGAAGGGAAACATCTCTCTTACAGTATCCTACTTTTCATTGATTTTGTTTAATTGTGTTCAAAAGTAAATAGAAGTAGCAAAATAAACACAACTAGCTATACACCTTTCACCATGCCTGCCAACTGGGACACTTTATATAGAGGCTACCACTAGTAAAACCCAACGGCTGGTGAAGTGTAGCATACACATGTGATACTGCAAGCACTCTGAAAGCCTAATCCAGTAATCTTTGTACCTATTTTTCATGTTCCTTAATCATTACAAACTCTATATTTAAGATATTATATCTTCTACTATATAAATGTTGAGCAAACTTTGGAAAAAAAATATGCTGCAGACCATTTCTAGTCAGAGGCTCATGTTTCTTAAGTGTCTGTGGAGAAGCAGTTTTACAAAGAATGGGGGCAAAGCACCTGTGGAAATCCCAGCTGTCACCATTTAAAATGATCTTAACGAGTCTTGAATGATAGGTGCAGTCTCTGCCTTTAATCAGCACTGGCTGATAAACAGAAGCCCTCTTACCTTTGGCCACTAACTAATCTAAGGTCCATCCAGAAGACTCTTCATTCTGGGTGAGGGGGGAGGAGGGCTCCTTGCCCCTGCTTCTTCACAACCCTTTCTGTGTTGTCCCTGAAATGCGGAAGTTTTGCATTCCAGATGTACACCCATAGCTTAATGAAGTATCAACTTGCTAAACTAATGATTGGAATAAGCTTTTTTGAAATGGGCTTAACTGCCCGTCAGTGTCACAGCTTATTGCTTGGTGTGATTTCTGAGCATCAGTAAGAGGTGCTTGCAGATTCAGGGAGATGAACTGAAATCTGTGTTCAGCTGGCAGTCAAAGGTTATTTTCACTATGGTTGAAAGACTAAAATATTTTTATTATTTTTTAAATAAATGTCTACATTCAAACTCTTGGGGGGAAATGTTTCAACAAATATTTTACTGTCTTGACTAACTGAAACATATTGTGCTATTGTCCAAGTGGGCTTACTAAGTCTTTGATAGGTAATTCTGTATTCTTGGCAGCCAATTAGGAAAAGCAATAGAAAAACCTCTTAACTCTGAACAATGCTGGTTCTGTGATTCAGAGTGTAACAGCTGATCCTGCATAGAGCTAATAAATGCTCCTAACACCTGATGGGAAATGTAGTTACCCAATCCAAATGCTACTTACATATTTACAGATAAAATTTGCACCAAAATGTTTGAAAAGCAAATTAAAAGTCTCAGAAATATAAATTTGACACAGTCACTCATTGAAAGAGATGCTGTTTCTAATTATGCATAGTAAACAAGAGCATTATTGTAAATATGAACAAATTCAGTGAAAGGAGTCCTGGCCACGATCTTGTTATTAGCTCTAGTCTAGAATTTTTAATAGCTCAGGTTATTTCATTACTACCTTAACACCATTTATAAATGTTCTATTAGATTTCCTCTTGCCTCTCCAGCAATATTCTTTCATGTATCTTTAATATATTATAATATGATTTAATGATATGTCTTTAACATATGGATACTGACCAATAGATTTTTAGCAGCTTAACTGATATCGTAAGGATGTATAAAATTGCCCAAAGGCACACTATGGCAATGTCATGATCAGATTGTCATAAAGATGGTGAATTTATTCTAGACAAGATTGAAAATGAGAAGAATTAACATTTATGTTATCCCAGTCCCTCAAAAAAGCAAAAAGCAATTAAAAAAGGCACTCCAAGCCAGGCTCTTTTTCTTTCATCCTCAGGCAGAATCAGGTTTTACCGGTGCCCTCGGCTCTGTCACCACTCAGGGGTCACGTCAGGGCACCACCCACACTGGTCTTGTGTGTAGCAGCACTATTTTCCATATTGAATATAGCTTCTTTCCCTCTTCTTGTCAGGCTGTAAATGCAGTCCTGCCCAAAGAGGACCCTCTATCAAGTCTGCTATTAAAATACCCTGAAACTTTAGAGCTAAAATTGGCTTAAGCTTCCTGATGTTAAGTGCTGCCTCAAGATGAGGAATGGCACAGCAGGCAGGACTGGAGAATGGCATGGAGCATTCCTGGCTTTCTGGGAGGTGCAAAAATGGAAGCGATTGAATTCCTGGTACAACTGGAAAGGGCAAGGAACACTCTTGGTGTTACTGTGCATGATGAAGTCAAAAGAAGTCAAACTTAAAAGCCCTTATATGAAAGCACACTACAAAGTCAGTGATTCGGCTCTTTTATACTGCATTCATAAAAACTGTTCCAAGTTGGAGCAGGCAGTAAAGGAAACAGCAAGGTCTTCCTCACCAGCTACAGAAGAGCAACCTAGCTACACTACTTTGAAACACTAGAGAGCAACACACTGCATACAGTCAATATATTATTCCTTCTGGTCAAGGTACAGAAAAGGATAGTATCAGACCCCTTGGCAAACACCTGATTGAGCACGTTATTGCCATCCTTTGTAAGGTCTGTGAACTACTGCTGGGACACTTACGGTTTGGTCCGCCAGTGGTGGGAGCACAATTTGTTTCTCTATTTTGTTCAAGACTAACTTCCACAGCTCTTTTAAAACCCGTTTCAGAACTGTCTTCTCACAGATTTTCGCAGAGACACTTAAACTGGAATAAAACAAAACACAAACCAGTCTCCAAAACTAGCGTTAAGACTTCAGAGGTGCTGTATCACTATACGCTCAGATTAATGGCCATTATGGTTTAGCTTTTCTCTACCAGTAAGGATTTCTCAATGGCTTAGTTATTTTGCAATATTATCAGTAAATATTTTTGGTAAAAAAAAGACTTGCAGATTATAAAATCATGTAAATCTCCACTATCCAATTTGTTGCTTAACATATTACTGATATATACTTATCAAAAATGCAAAATGATGATGAGTTATAAAGTTTGATGGATGATACCATTTAGCACTCGAAGCCCCTAAATTAAAGTTTTGGTATATAATTTGTTTATGTCTTAAAAATAAAAAAACAAACGTCTCACTTGTCTTATACTTCTATCTACTGTGATGCAGAACTAGATGTTGATAGGTAATGCAAATTCAGGGCTATTATTTGGAAGCATTTATTTCTATATACTGGCATATCTGTGCAATCATACTATCTATTACTAACGGTAAAATTAAATTTTTGGAGGATCTATATACTTACGTAGATTTTTTTCTTTATTTAAGAGTGTATTCATAAACCATCTTGTATTTATTGCTATGAATAAGTAGCGTCATGAATAAAGTGCTGCAGTTTTCAGGCACAGGAAAAACTATTTCAAAATAATATCACACAAATGCATATGTGGGCAATTTTACAGAATTATGTCTAATCTATTAATGTAAAAAAAGATTACTATAAAGTAATTATAATATCACATTATAAATATGCCAATTAATATTTCTACCATCTCTTACTACTCTTAGTAAGCACATCAATAAAAGCATAATTAGGAAATAACTAAAACCCAAACTATATTAATATGACATGTTTATAATCCTATTATAAATATATATTTGTAAGAAAGGTGATATTCCCTAGCAGTGTTTTTTTTTTTTTTTTAAATTTCACATCTTTATTTTCTGTGCATGGGTTTAGCATCTGCTAAAATTCCATTTAACATTCCTGTGGTGAGGAATATTTTCTATTCAGACAGAAATTTAAAATCCATTTTTGTTTTCATTATGTCATTATTCAATTAAATCTCAAAGAAGCTATGAAGACAGCTTTGAGAAATGGCAATCTGGAGCCGAACCTGACAGGCAAAAGTCAGCTTACCCATTTTTTTAAACGATGAGCTTAGGATAGCACTTGCAAGTGTACAAACACTTTTGGCTTTTCTTCAAGGCTTGTGCTAGGAGTAAATGTCTTAACTCAAAGATAATTAAAATTTAAAACCATACTGCTTGAAAGCAACACATACCCCTCTTGTAACTTAACACATAGGACTAGATAGATCTTCTTTATACCACAGCTCGTGGAGGAGAGACCTTACACTAGCTCCTTTGTAATGACTCAAAACACGACAAGAAATAGAAAGGCAAATACGTAGCTTACGCAGAAATTGCTTAGTATAAGTAAACAGGTTAAGCATAGTATTCTGCACACATGTGAATACTACAGATATTAAAAATACTACAAAGTGGTTCTAGGTATTAATGATGCTTCAGGGTAAAACCAAGTATGCCTGACTGTAGCATCCAGTTCCGAATCTGCCACACAACCCAGTCTGCCACACTTACGTTTTGTCCAGGAAATCCATGAGAGGCCGAAGTACAATCTCGGCATCAATGGCCGCACTGTTCTTGTTGGCTGCTGCATTCCCATTTCCTCTCATTTGGTTCAGTTCATTGCTCATTTGTCTTACACAATCTTCAATAATAAATTGAAAACTACAGGACAGGGGAAAAAAAAGTAATGAAAGAATTCTGGGATAGAAAACAACATTTATCATTTTGCATCAGGTTCTTCAACAAGATTTAAATCTTTTCTGCAATGACGTGTTCACAAACGCAAGATACTGCAGGTGTTACAGACGGAAAATAACTCTTCCTAAGGATTATAGCTCAAATAACTGATTCATGTACTGTTTTGATTTTTCTCCCCCCTTGTTTCCGTTCTGTCATTATGCTTTTCATGCCCTTGTAGGGGTGCCAAGTAATTATTTTCTGAAAGCAACAGATGTATCAGAACCTGTACTTTAGGGTATGGTTAACTACCAGCTAGCAACTTCTCAAGATGATGTTTTTGGTGTGAAAGAACAACAGGAACAGGTAACTAACTATAAATTATTTTTCTCTTGATGGTTAATATGAACCAAGCTTTAATATTCTTCTTGAGGACAAACAGAAAACAAAACAGAAAATGATTTCGCCCTGTTTGGCTCAATTTGACTTTTTCCCGGGTTTCACACAGAGTCAGTGCCATCAGAAGCTTTGCTTACTTCTTTGCAACTAGACAGAGCTAAAACATTTGGACTGTTTAAAATATTCTTTTGCAAAATAAACCACTAAGAAGTAGTTAGACTCTTCCTTCTGGAAGGAATCTTTTCCACTTCAAGGTCAGTGTGAACAAATTCTTGCTCCTCAAGTTGTATCTGTTCAGCTTTTCTGAAAACTGTTCTGTTTCCTAACTGATCTGCTTGAGCAACGTGTCTGACAGTCTTGTAGCGTCATTGATGTGATACAGTCTTCGGTCAATATATTTAAACAATCCAGAACAACAGTTAATCAGAGTCAACAGTTCAGAGGCAGAATAAGGCTCTGCATACATGGTAATTTGGTTTATGAATTAATTTATGATTAATTGAATTGGTTCAGGATTAGTTTATGAACCGAAATGCAAAACAGAGGCCATAAATATACCAGGCCTATTAACGTGAAAAGATAAATGGCAAAGATTAACTTGAGGAAAGTGAAAGAGAACTTACTATGAGAGAAAAGAAACATTATAATTAGGCAGTAAGCTGTTCCAGCTACCATGGCTAATCACAGAAAGACAACGCAAATCTCCATGTGAAAACACTGGAAAAATTGGAAACTTTTCCAAGTACACTTGGATGTGTACTTACCTACACACTTCAAAGCCCTAGATAAAATCAACATGAAGCTGCTATTGAAGCTGCTTATGCAAATCCTTGGGACTCTCATGCAAATCCAGTCTCTCCAATAAAAGCCAAAATAATGCATTAGCTTTTCTTGACATTAGCCATCTTTCTAACATGGTTAACTTCACAACCCCCCAGCAATAAACTGACCCATAAGGAATGTTCTAGCTCTCTGGAGCATACCCTAGATTGAGCTATTCCTGCGTTTTCTTTTGCAGAAACATAGTTGGCTTATTCAGAAAGAAGCCCTGGAAAGAAAGAATATTCATGCACTGTCAATGACCAGAGAACCAGGGCCTGGGAGCAAAAATAAAGCAAGACAATATGACAAACAAATCACACTCAGAAAAAGTGAACACTGTCCACCCAGACGGGTCATCGACGGATTACATAAGCAACTACAGACTTCACTTAATGAATACCACTACAGCACTAATCCCTCTTTCTTAGATTCCTTTCTAATTTGATGCAAAAATAACGTGCAGCACAGGCACTGCTGGCATAGCACCATATTCATTCAAGACCGCAGTGTGGACTCTGATTAATGAGAGATTTTGAGAATAAGGCTCAGTAGACAATTTTTGCAGAGCCACAGGCAAGCAAATGACCCAAGGCAGCCATTCACTGCGACCATTTGAAGCAGGCTAAACATAGGCAGACATCCCTGGTTGAAGCAGGCCACCTGGAAAAAGCTGTCAGTCTTGGGAAGTAACATGAACATGGTCAGAGAAAAAAGTTTAACACAGCATCGGGCAAGGACAAACCAGCAATTTTTGTTTTCCGAAAGGCAGAACAAGTCATCAGCCTCACCTCTGTAACACGTTCATGCCCACAGACCATCTTCAGTTTTCTTTACAGTGAGGTTACTGCTATATGTTTCAGAGTCTAAACACATACACACACACAAACGAACACCACTTCATCAGGGCAGAAGCAAGCTGTACCTCAGGACATCCAAACAACCGCCCAGACTTAATCAGCGAGGCAGATTTTTGAACAAGAATATTTCTCTAAGGTTTGCGGTAAAACAGGTTTGTTACCTTGTAGCATACGATACGCTGAGTTCATCCAATACATTGCTAAGTTTCACCTGAAGATCTTTTAGAACAACACTAGCTTCAGGATCCAACTGCAAAGAGAGAAGTGATGTTATGTTTTACTTATACACTATGCTTTTGGGTTTTCCAATACAATGAATGAATTAGGAATTATATGTAATGATACACTGCACTATGGAAAACCGAATGTGGAAACACCTGTCACAACACAGGATTGCTTTAGTAGGCCCAAAAATCCAATTACCATTTAAAGGAAAATATTTGATCGTAATAATGAAGATTTATATTGTTAGAAATCAAAACTGTGCCATTAAACAACGGCTTTCTATGGGATGGTGCAAACTGTGTTGGCAGTCACAAGAATAGAATTACCATTATCAGGCAAATGGTATTCACAAGGCATACCAAGAGAAGGATGCATAAGAATGTAGTGTTTCTGTTAAAAATACTGCAGTTGTTTTCATCTTTTAATTTTTTTTGGTGCATTTCACCACCATCAGTACTTTTTTTGTGATTTGCGTGGAAGATGTTTCCATATTCCCATTAATGCAGCATAAAAGTAGAACAGCCAGCACTGGAAAAGATGGCTTGAAGACTATCCATGCTGCTTCTACTGATATAGTATGAGGAGAAGGAATCTATTCAATTTCAGTACTTCTGTTTCTAAAAGCCATTAAGACATACGTAATTCAAGCACAGTGCTAGACGTTCTGATGCACAGGGAGAACACCTCCTGTACCTCTGATACAGGTTTTCTAAACACAGGAAGAAAGAGAATGCAGGGGAGAAACACAGTTTTACATTTACAGAGATGGGGACCCACGCACAGGTATTTAATCAAAAAGGTACTCTGTTGATATTGATCAGCAACTTGTTTATTTGCTATGCATTCTTTTTCAAATTAAAAAAAAATTGACTTTTTGTCTCCTTGAGCTTTTAGCATTTAGGAAAAATAGTTACAGTCCATTGTGGGATATGATTGATGATCATCAGGATCAACAGCTGAATGTGAATTACCAGCTGATGTTCCAGGTCTTTCAGCTATCTACATCACAACGTCAGGGAAAGATTTTCAATGATAATCCGCAAATTCTGGGCTCTGTTCTGCAGCAAGGTCAGATACAGATCTTCTGACAATTTCAAAGGAAATTGCGCATTTAGAATACATAATCAGGTCTGTCTTTATTTGCATTTTCGTATCTTTCAACTGCATGAGTAGTGTTTAGTGCTTATTCTTCATCCGATGCTTCAGAGTACTATGGTGCAGTAGGTCAGCTCTTTTAATCACACTTTAGAGACAAGGGGAAGCTGTGTCACAGCACATTGGATAACTTACATGAGACTACACAGAAATTCTAAGGCAAAGTAAAGAAAAAACTAACTCTGGAACACCCTCAAAGATCTACTGTGTTCTAATCTTAGACCATCCTTTCTCTCCTTCAAAGTTATGTGTGGTTTAAAAGCATAGAAAATCCAAGATTTTCATTACAGTTTTTGACAAAAGTCTGAAATAGGTGACAAGGGGAATTGCCATACATCCCTTAGAAGATATTCACCGATGTGTAGCACTTTTCTAATCTGAGCAGCTCATATTTTAACACTGTGACTACTTACTGATTTAGCTTTTAATTACTGTGCATTTGGAGAAGTTTTGTTGCTTCTCCACTTCATGTCTTAGTAGTTTCCCCGGCAGATACACTCTGACAGTTCATACACTTAAAGTGATTGTTTTCCTTCATATGAAAAGCAGGGATAAAAAAGCTAATTTTACTGAAATGTCTATATTAGTTAACAAAGATAGAGTTTACTAACAAAGGCAAAGATTTTTCCAGGAAATGCATTTCACTAGGGAATTATACTGCCTCCTTTGGTGGGATACATACAGAACACAAATTTAAGATCACTAGAATATTAACATTTAACAAATACTGAACACACAGGTATTCACACTGAACATGATACACAGCAGAGAAAGCACAAGAATACCAGGCAGGCAGAAGACTCAAAATTTCTTACCAGATCATGCACAATCTAGAGAATCATCTTGTTACTGGGACTACTAAGGCCAATGTAGTTACTTTCTATCAGAGGTTGTTGCGATAACCAGAAAACACAATATATTTTCTAAATTCACCTGGAATTGGACTTAGTTTGGCCAAAATTGGACGAAATACTAATATCAGACTGTGGACATAACACACATTATAGAATGGTGCATGCAAGTGCTAGATGTTTTAGAGGGCTTTGTGCTCACAAATTGCATGAACAAGTTTGTGTGTGCACAGCTGGAGGCATCTGGCAGGACATCCAGCCTTGTGTATACACATGCTCAGGCTTATTAATGCAGTGTCATAGGGAGGAGTGGAATATAAAGAGGTATGCGGGCTGACCATCCAGGTGCTAGACACCTGGTGATGTGATGACTAAGAATACGTTAGCAAGATTTTTTAATGCTACTGTTATTTTTGTTTAACTACTGGAAAATATGGCAATTTGAGTGTCTCACCAGGACTAAAATGTGCACTTTTCATTTATTTTACCATGCGCCCTCTATGTGCTAGTGAGTTCCCAGGGCAAATCAGAGGGTCCTCAGGCATCAGCCCTTGACTGGCATCATCCGAATATACCACAGCGATGACCTGCTTTTTTTTCTGATATGGCACAGCTAAGATGGGAACTATTATGATGGTTCTACACTATGAAATTCTGGGGGGACTTCACCACTGGTAAAGACGGTTCTAGGGTGGCCTTGTGCAGTGGAGATAAGCTAAGTCAGCTTTTGGTACCTCTGCACATCACACACACTAACTAGTATAGATTATCTTCTGTATATCTTATCTTTTCTGCATAAATTAATCCACTATTTTTTTAATATGAAAAATATGTTCAGCTATGATGCCTTACTTAAAAAATAGAATATTTGAAAAAAAAATAATTCTGTGGAAGTAGGAAGCATTACTGTCTCCCTCTTAAATATTCTAAAAGGCTGTAGTTCACAACATGACTACACTGTGCAAAAACATCAGTTTTGCAACAACAAGCTCAAAAAGGAATTTTATTTGTGCTTTAGAAGGATCTATTATTTCAGCAATGGTTTGAACAACTCCTGCTAACACATTTTATACCAGGTTTGCTTATTCTTAGGAAAGTACTATGTGGGAAATGCACTATAGCACTGTGCAAATGGTTTGGCTTAATGGACAAGCGGCAAGACTTATGCAGGTTGACATCACAACACTCACTACTTGAGACAGTAACACATAGCTCTTAAAACTGCTGTGTAAAGGAGGCAAGTTTCCCAGTGAGGCAAATCAGTGATGAAGAGATTAATTCATTTATCTAAGGCTTTCCAGTGACCAAAAGAAATCCTCAGCTTTCGTGATTTGGCTGAGATTACTTACTAGCGAGGGAGTAACGATAAAACAATCATCTCTGCTTCATGAGCCAATCTGTTTTTGGATAGTGCAGAGTTATTTTGGGAAGGGAAGTGTATAAGAACTCAGGTAAATGCAACCTGTAATTCTTCATACTAGTTGCTACTAGTAGCAGTTTAAGTAAATAGATACAAACGTGCTCAGCTGCAGAAATCTCAGCCACCCAGATGTGGTTAAATGACGAATTACAGGGTTAACCCAGCCCTAATGCTACCCTACTGTGCAATCAACCAGCAGGAAAGGATGGAAGTGAGGCAAAAGGCAATGCTGATCAGCATCTGAGAAGAGGTTGTATAGTGATATACAGATATGAAAATGAACTATCTACAGTATTGGGGACTTTTTCACCTCAAGTCTTACCTGCTCCATAGAGTTTGATGCAGAAGGAAAAAAAACCCATGCCTGAACAATTTGTCAGGAAAATAAAAGAAAAAAAGCCCTAACTGAGCAGATTATTGCTGGGAGAAAAAAAGATGAGTGTCATTAATATGCCATATCTAATTTAAGAATTGAAAGAGAGAAAAGACCGTTTAATCCCTTAGCTTCTTGGGTTCTATTTACAGTTCACAGCATGTGTGGGCTAGTCTTAAAATACATTGGTAGGTTGCTCAGGTGTCAAAATCTGGATTTTTTTTAAAGAGCAAACTTACTTCGGTAGTGGAAATGTTATTAACCTGTTAATGTGCAAATCATACTTTTCTACCAATTCTTAATTTGCTTGGCTTTCTTAGGTTCATAAATATTTCTGTTATTTTACCATCTTCTTAGATAATAGAGTTAATTTTTACCCACAACAGAACATACTCATAAATTTGTTGGCACACTTCATAAGATGGGTTAATTATGGATTAAATAGATAATTAGAAGTTTGACTTTTTCTGAATGCTAAACAAAAGCAGAGAATACTTTTGCTGAACAGCTGAAAAAATAAGAAATATTTGAACATCACTGTTTCCAAATGCTGCCTGTCTAGAACTGTGAAATTTTTTATACATACAAGCCTTGGAAAAGAGTTAAAGATCTGATGAATTTGGCTGCTTTCGACATAATGCGTTAGATTGAGCTATTCCATGCTGTAATTTAATGTGTGCTAGTATGGACATAATCTTGTTAACTGCAAATTTGGTAGTGCTTCTACAGAAAACTACAGAGATGCAAATTACTTTTGCATGAGTTAAAGGGAACCTCTTTAATTGGAATTCCATTTATCTGCAATTTCACATATCTAACTGCTTATAGTTTCCTAATGGGGCCACCTGATTACTTCCATTCAGAAAATAGTTTTGCATATTGTATGTACATCTAGGGAAGACAGAGGTATTTATCAGATCCATCCCTTTAGTGGTTCTTTTTGTCTCTGATAGACATCATCCTTCCTTCACACCCCACCCAACTACACAGGTACAGCGAATCCCATTTTGAGGTGTTTGGCTGCCACTGCTCTAAACACTTATGCCTCTGACTTAGATTTAAAGATGGACACTTCAGAACTATTCTGCTTAAGTCTGGGCCTCTGTCATCCCATCAAAGTCTTTAGGACCACACATAGATTCCTATAGGAATTCCTAAGCATTACATGTAAAGTTGGAACTGAACTTACTGCAGTGGAAATATGCTTTAGCTACAGTCAATATGATACTGTTGTATGTAAACAACCTGCTTCTGCTTTCCACCATTTTTTTTCCCCCACCTAATTGCTGTAACTCATTTCTGCCATGTTCTGCCATCTGGTGAAAAACAACACATGCATTAACTTTTTCTCCTTTCCCTTTTATCAGCTTCCAACTTGTCAGACATGAAAAAATGATTTAGTGCAAATGTATGCACTCCTTTTGGACAAAACAAACAGGAGCTAAACCAAAATTCTACATTATGACAATCTGTTCCCATGATTTTGGACTTGATTTTTAAAAAAGACAAGACAGTTGGTTCGATCCCACTTTACTACTCTTACTTTATTATGGCAGACTGATCTCATTTACATAGTTTTTTAAGTACCCTTCCTGCTTGGCTACAGCAGAAGAGGAGAGTTAATAAAGAAACTCACGTTGTTCAGACTATTTTATTTTAATGGCAGGAGAGCTGAGAGCCCCGCTTTTTCTCTATTTATAGAGCTCCCTGCGCTGCAATATGCAATAGGCCTACTCCGAACACAGGGACTGCTGCTTGATTGTGGTATTTTGACTGCATAATTTGAAAGACATACTGCTCACAATGTGACACTGAGGAGATTAACAGCATTTAATTTTTCTTAGAATTAGTTTTGCTTCAACTGAAATAGGTCTCATTATTCTGCTGAAAACCATCTGACTTTTTATGCCCTCCACAAGCAAAATATTAAACTATTTTCTCCTTGCAAGGAAACTGCTTACAGACTTTATTGCTGGCTTTGTTTCTTATACGTAACAGTTCAATAAGGCAAATTGGCCATTAGCATTTATACTCTTGGAATAGGTAGGGGAGTAAGTATTCCAGTTTGAGGACAAGCTTTTTAGGGGCACTTTGATACGGGTGACAGAAAAATGGAACATGAATGTATTTTTCTTCAAGAAATTCCCCTACCGAGAAACAAACAAGACTTTGAATGTATTTTTTAGATCTTTTTTCTTAGACCATGAATCAGAGATGCACTTAAGGACCTAACAAAGGGATTTTAGAAAAATATCTCTGAATTCTCTCCAAGGGCTGCATGTTGCACCATATTTGTAGGAAATATTGCTTTGATACTGTAACATCCTTAATAATTCATCCTCATTAACATCAGAAGGGAAAGCAAAAAGGATGAGAAGTGATGAGAGATTTTGAAAGAAAACTGCTATGAAAAATCCTAATTATTTTTTTACTTTTTTTTTATTATATAAGCTATTGGGAGGAAAAGGAAAACTAATATTTTCTTGAGGAAAATGGAACATTTTGGAGATTCAAGAAAATATTCTGATTTGAAAATAATTTGACAGATACAGACATAAAGTGCTAGTCAGCTTTCCTCTGCCCTTGTCTTCATCAGGATTTATGGACACTTAGCTGTTTTTATGATTCATGACATTCAACATGTAGGATTGGATCCAAGACCTTAATACAAAAGTACTTTGCACAGAACATAAGAGAATAGAAGACAAGATTATTTGTAATATTCAGAGAGTTAAAGGGGATTAATAGTAACCACAAAAATTATAGCCATGTCTGGATGATAAATATCTATTTTTAAAGTTTGATATGAAATTTCCAATGACGACAAGGCTGCAGAAGTTTATTTCATGTTCTCTGGAGCAGGCAGTGTTTTTGCCGTGGCGGCTTCAAGAAGCTATTACTAGCTCAACAAAACCTCCTCACCTTGGAGTTAATCTGTAGGTTCATTTGGAAGGTGTTATTCATTGCATGACATGGGACTATCTTACCCTCTGCATCGTCCCACTGTGGATGTGGAAATATGAAATAATGTATTTTCCAATTCTCTCTATAGTCACATCAGATCAAAGTTTTGTGAAACTATCAAACTACAGTCTCAACAAGAAAAAGCTGATGTATGTGTAACTTCTTTTTTAAAGCCAGCTACTGATAATAAGGATAGTATATTAATGATCTAAACATTGCTTTTTAACAAGACAGGATTCTATAGCTTGAAAAGATGTTAATTTCTTCATTAGTTTTCAAAATAGTCAAAGACTACAATCAGCAAAGTACTGAAGCACATGCTTATGTCCTTTTACTGTTGACAGGACTTCAGGCACTTTTAAGTCTTCTGAAATGTAAAAGAAGATAAAGCTAAGCATGTTCTGAACTGTTGAGTAGCAGCTTTTGGTGAAATGGTGCCAAATCTTGAAAATAAGCAGGCCCTCAGATACTGAAAAGTGCACGTAAAAAATGTTTTATAGATTTTTTAGAAATTCTGAAAGACTGTCTAGTAAAACTTTAGAATTTAGAGTGTCAACTAGATGCCCAAGCATAGCTCTTTTTGATTTTAGATCATAAGGAATTACACAAATGCATCAATGGAAATTAGTAGGAAATGTGACTGTTCTTAGCCTTAGAAAATATGGTCAGGAATAATAAAAGATGCTTACTATCACAAACCTCATAAGAGAATCTCTCTCCTTCTTTCTTCTGCTCAGTGGATTGCAAGTCAAAGGCATTAGACAAAGACATGACACATTACAGACAAAGCACAAAGCACATGTTCTACAAAATTTTCAGATACAGGCAAAACGTACCAATACATAAAAAAGCAAAGTATAGTCCAATACAAACATTAAAATAAAGCTGGCACTACAGATTACAACACAAAACACCCAGTGCTGGTTGAACTTTACAGATCATTAGCATGTTTCTGTGAAATAGTGTTAGGTCTTTCTAGCATTGTCAGGACATTAAATAGTTCTTGTAGGCTTTTTTTTTAAGAACATTTTGATTTTCTTTGCAAGCAGAAATGAAGGCTGTGACTAGGTTGAAAACATGATGCTAATGATCTCTAAGGAACTTGGAATGAACCAGGAAAGAAATATGACTCACCTCCTTTCCTCCCATGGACTCAAACATTTTCTCAAGCTGGACTCTTAATTGTTGAATGTTGTTCATCAAGATACAGGGCTACAAAGAGAGCATCAAATGTGAGAACGTGCCTGTTATGTTCCTTTTATGTATAAATATGTGTATTCGCAGCCTCTGGGCTGAAGACCAGTTCTTCAGCAGCCCTACATTCACGCAACTGTGTTTTTCAGAGGAGGATCTCAGGTTCCCGACCACTGCTGCCTCCCCTTCCTTCTTTAATTCACACTCCTCTTTGCCCAGCCAGCAAACCCACTCAGCCAGTGACCGCCCATTATGCCCTTAAGACAGTGTTGCCCCACAGGAAACTGAATACCTTCTCGCAACCAGCGGGGCAGTTTTCAGATCCCAGTATTTCACGTCCTGAACCTTATAGCCCATGTGGTCGCTGGTCATACTAAATAAAATTACATCTGGTGGATTAATGCAAGTAGTACATTATCGTCTCTGAGAGTAGACACAATAACGATCAAAGTACTTTGGGAGTGAAAATAGACTGGGGTAAAGGGAATGCCAGATTGCTTTCTAGACCCAGCCTTTTCAGAAAACTGTGACAGCACTGTAACCCAGATAATGGCTGATGCTTAAGTATTTGAATAAATCAACAGGCAGTTCTGTTGATAACAGAATAATATTTCAGAAATGTACATTTTGCATTGCTTGAAAAGTCGGAGAATGAATTAGGAAATAGAATTTTGTAAACATATTATTTTAGTCTAAAAATATTGCTGTTTAAGCTCATTGCTTTAAGGCAGAACACAGAGCCACAGTATGAAAGACTGATTGCTGGATAAATATAAGGTAAAAAATAAAACATGGATAAAATTAAGCAGCTAATTACAAAATTATGGAAGAAAGGATCTATAGAATTTTGTGTACTCTGATGACATTATATGCCAGTTTGGTATGGTGCAGGGGAAGCAATAAGACCGTACTTGCTAAAAGAGTTCTGGTTGGCCAAGGTCAGTGTTTTCTAGGGCACGACTGTATTAATTTACACACTGAAGTAACGCATTTCAATAAAACACATATACTTTTTTCAGACAACAAGAAGGTGATGGAATGATTATAGTGATTGATACTCATTTGTACCTTTCTAGTTAACAGCATGTTCCAATGTAGTGCTGAAACATGGTGGGATTAGATTTTGGTATTCAAAAGATCAATAACACAATTTAGCTTTAATTAGTTCTACATTACTCTCAAAGGAATTTAGTGTCAGAGTCCTTCTCAACCGAAGGAAAAAAAAGAAATTTGATCTAACTTCTTAATACTTACATTACTGCTTCCCAGTGAAGCGTGCTATTTGGCCTCCTGCAAAAGACAGCTGGCTTTGCATAAAGGTTGAAATATCACCTCTCTTCCTGTCTCTTGAAAAATCCACAAATCCCACTTCTTCTATTTGTTTATCTACCTTCTATTAATTTATGATCATTAAGACTGTGTCCTCCTCTCCTATCTCCTCTCTTCTGACATATTCATTATTCTGGAAATTATCTGCAATATCACAAATCAATGATTATGATTTCTGATGGAGAAATAAGTAGCTGAATATAATGTCTTGGTTCTTTTGTTAAAAACAAGTGCAAATGCCTTTGGCAATACACTGAAGCTGTGAGACAAATACTTCATACTGAGGCAGTTTTCAAAGTTTCCTTTGAGGCTAGGTAAGGCTGCTCTTTCAGAGCCTAAGCGTACCTTGGCTCAATGGAAAAATTTCAATTGCTGTCAGTAAATAACAGAACCAGAGCTTAAAAACATTCTCATCTTATTATTTCATTATCACCTTGTTCTTCCAAATACTCTTTGCAGCAATTTACAGGAATCAGCCAGATGCAACAACACATAAAAGTGAGTGGCAAGTACAATACATAAAACCAGGTTTGTTTGTAAACTCTGACAGGAGGTGGAAGATAAGAGGAGGTTTTTACATTAGATACATATCTTTATGAAAAGCACCTTTGGTATGCTTTTATTTGAACAGTTTATGTGCACATTTTACAGTCTTTAATAAAAATAGTAGAAGTATTTACTTGAAAAATAATGCCAAAAATCTAACTTTAATCATAAAATGTATTAGTTTTAATCTCTTGTGTCAACTCTAATGCAGGAGATAGACTTTTAATATAATTGAGATCATCAAATCAAGTGGTCTTTTATTAAGCTAAAAGTATATATTTAAAAAAGTTTATATACTTTAAAAAGGGGGGACATAAAAATTAGTTATGTCCCCCAAAGGCGTCTGATGTAATACTTTATATCATAATGAGATAACTCCATCTAAAGCTTTAGTAAAGATTGGCATACCAGGGCAACTTCAGAAATCAATCACTCCAACAATTAAAAAAATCCCATTGGACAGGCCAAAAGACTACACAAACAGTTTGACTCAATGACTCAATGCTATGTATTAAAACTAATTTCTTCGAGAAAGCAGTAAACTTTATTTAATATTAGCATTAAATTGAAAGAAATGGAAAAATATAGCTACAAAATTTATTTCTTTTTTACATTAAATTTTGAGAATAGTTATGGCTCATATTGGGTCAAATACAGAGACAGATTATTTTAGATGAAGCTTGGTTTGGACTGATTAACATTAAAGTAGAAGACATGTAATGCATTCACTCCTCCATACTGGGGAGAGAGAGAGTTGTGTTCTTTTCAGCTCTGTATTTGCCCTGGACGGGGGATAGGTAAGGAATATGTAGAAGGTGTATCTGTAAAGTTAAAAATACATGAAGATTTACATCCTGCTAGATTATGGGGAAAAAAACTGGCAATATGGTGTGCTGGTTTATCATATATCAACTGGTATCCGCCAACAGGACTCGTGGAAATGGTTCAAAGCTGCATCAGGGGAGGTTCAGGCTTGACATTAGGAAGCATTTCTTTACCGAGAGGGTGGTCAAACACTGGAACAGTCTTCCTGGAGAGGTGGTTGATGCCCCAAGCCTGCCAGTGTTTAAGAGGCATTTGAACAATGCCCTTAACAACATGCCTTAACTTTTGGTCAGCTCTGAATTGGTCTGGCAGTTGGACTAGATGATGGTTGTAGGTCCCTTCCAACTGAAATGGTCTAGTCTAGTCTACTCTATTTTATAACTGGCATGTTTCCTAGTGCTTCTACAGCTATAAGACTGATTCTTCTTACACAATGATTGCCAAACTTGGCCTGGTGCTTTTACTCTTTTCAGATACTGAAAAGATTTAGTACTGCCAGAAGAAAGCTGTATGGCTATCTACTAAAGTGAGTCTTTTCAATGTGTTTACTGCAAAGGGCTTCAAGGCTGAAAATATCTGAAGTGGGAAGTTAAATCTGAGACATGACACATCTATATAAATAAAAGTCACTCCTCTGTAAAAACCTGTATATAAAACTTCTACTTAATAAAGTTTTGAGTTGGGTATTTTTATTCTTTAACTCTATTTTAGACAAAATTGTGTAAAAGGAATGGAATGGTATAAGTCTCTCTTAGCAAATATATCTGTGGCCTGAAAAATTAATGTTTAGTCTTTTGTAATGTTGCTTATAAGAAGAACCACCAATAGCTGATATTTAGCTGCAATACATGTCTTTCTGAATTCTATTATTGTGTATACGTTGGTGACCTCTAGATTACGACACTGTCTCACACTACAGAGAGCACTGGCAAGAACGAGCGCGTCCTCAAGCCATGCACAGGGATGTGACAAATATACCCAAGATCTGTGTATGAGCTATATAAGGGCTATATTTTTAAAGGTGAATAGTATGAGGATGGTGCTGCAGTTATTTATCTAATCGTAGATTGATACATCTGTACAACATACTACTAAATATAGCAGACATAGTGCTAAATGTTGCCTGCCTCGGGAGTACTAGCTTTGATTGAGTATCGGTACTGAAAAGTCAGTTTACAAGAACAATTTTCCTTGGTCCTGTTAAGCTACTGGTAATGTCTTGATTTGCTCAACCACATCTTTAGTGTCCATATCTCATTTATTTCTGAGTCCATGGCAATCTGGTCCTTCATTAGGGAGTCCCTTGTAAGCAGTGAGACAACAAAATAGCACATGATTTTCTTCTCACTGCTGTGTGGATAAAGCACAGAGAGTGAGTGGTAGTAGCAGAAAAGTCTGCACACACTCCCTGTACAGGGAACAATGATCCTATAAACTCTCTAATGAATAAATTGATAAAAAGATGCAAACCAATGCAAAATGAAAACTCAAACAAAAATGTTTTCTGCTGTTTGGAAAAAAAGAGGAAGATACATTCACCGTATTTACCACTGTATAAGGCTATTATCCAGGGAGTGTTTCTGGCCATCTTGTAAATTTTTTTCTACTTTAATACTTAAATTATTAACTAGGATTCTTAACTAATTCCCCCTATTCCAGCTTTTACACAGCGATGTAAGCAGCTATGAAAACATGCTGACCTTATTAAAAAATAAAGCAAAACAAAAATCCTTTCCTCCGTTCATGCTTTTTCTCATACACAAAAGTGATTACATTTTCAAAAAGTACAGTAAGTCATTTAAAGGTAATTTCTGAGGCAGAAACAAAACACAGCTTTTTACTCACCACATTTTCTTTATCACAATATGAGCTGAAGTGATTTGAAATAATTACAGCATACTGAAGAAGCACTTTGTTGATAGTCTAGGAGAGGAGAAGAATCTTTTAAATGGTAAATTTCATCATGTAAAACAAAAATAATTAAAAAAACCACAAAAAAGGAGGTTTATATAAATTACAGATTTTGCAGGTGCTTACACATTTAGTATATAGTATTTTTTTAGACATAATGTAAACAGTCCTGTGAGCACATTTTCAAATCCCCACACAACAGATGGTGGGTTGTTCTTAATGGAATGTAATCTTCAATAGCAGAGATACTTTAATTTTAGTCATACTGTTTCTGAGAAGCATCGAGAGCTCTACTCCTTGCAATGTGCTACATACTTAATGGAACAATAGCAAGCTCAAAAAACCCTCTACGGTGACAATGCATAGATTAAAAATATAATGGAAAAATAAGACCAAGGGAGCACTGTTCAAAGCCTGGCAATACGAGCTTATCTTAAAATAATCATGTAAATAGGAACTTTGTTTGCAAATGGAAAACTGTGGCAACTGAAGAACAGGAATAAATGTAAATGCAAACTTTTTTAAAGCCATCAGGACTATAATGGAAATCTAAAGCTTGTGAGGAAATGTTACAATCCAAATAGAAAGCTGGACTAACACAGTTGAGTTTATCAAACAGCAGATGAATAAGAACTACCACCTCAGGGCTTCAACCAGCAATACTTTATTGTCATACCTTGAATTTTTCCTTCCCTTGCACTGACTAATTACATAACTGCATTTCACTGAATTGCTCCACTAATGGAATTGTAATCAGTGCTTAGCAAGAATAGTAATTGATTGTATAACATATATAAATATGAAATCTCAGAGAGGATAGAACTTCTCAAACTGGTAAGTGATTTTGACGAAGTAGATGAAAAATAGTCTTAAGCCACAGACAGCGTGTCTTTCTAGGGATCCCAGTCAGAGATAGAAGAGATTGATTCTAAACAACATTGGAATTAGCTTTTTAAGTATGCGGCAACACGATGTCACTCTCTCTGAAGCTTAGTTGAGATGCATTCATTTTACTTTACCTTTGCAAACCTTCTCATTAAATGAGATAGTGCTTCTGGATTAGGACACTCCAGTTTCCTAATAATCTCAAAGCTTTGATTGAGCTGTGTGAAGACGTCAACCACAGAACAAGAGAAGAGGGCATGATCTGATGTTTGCTGAAACTAGAGAGAAACATTCAAATGAGTTAACACTTGTTCAGAGATCAAAACTGTATTAACTGATTTTCTTACACTGGAAATTCTTCCTAGAGTCATAAAAAGTAATAAATAAGAAATAAAGTTAAAAAAAAAGTCTCACTGATAATACTGAGAAATGTGGCTTTTAACATTTCTATTACTTTCAAGCCTCTTAAAAATAAAAACAAAATTCTCTTTCATGACATCAATATCACATCAGAGTTCAGTGAAACCACAGACTGAAGTCTATGGGGAATTTAGGCAGATGGAATTAGAGCAGGAATTTGTCCATAGGGTTATCTTCCAAGGACTGTTACTGACGGTGTATCTTGTGAGGTCTAACAAGGATCCTGTGGGACCAAATGTACTTCTGGTTTTGCAATACTAAATAACTGTCTTAATACGTTCTTTATTCTTTTCTTTAAAAACTAAAGGCTCACCCCATCTTTTTTGTCTCTTTCTAGTGCTCCATGAAGAAATTCCATTGAGACATCCTCATTTTCATCCAGCCACTGAATGACAAATGGTTCAAACCACCTGAAAATTAAAAACAATTTTGTAAAGTAAAGTAAGTACATTTCATAAAGATCCTGAGAGGAGAGATGCCATGCCACCCAGCATCTTGTGTCTTCACATCTGTTCTAGTTGCTAAAAAGTCTACCAACCCTGAAAAATTTTTGTCACCAAAGACACTGTGGTGACCAAAAGGTCTTTCAGGCTTCAGTTTCACAATACTCTAACTGGTCGACCCCAGTGATGTAAAATTAGCAGTAGCCATCAGAGAAATGTGTCCATGTTTTGCAGGGGATCACATTCTGCACATTTTTTTTTTTATTTTAGAATGTGTCTTTTATCAATATTGGTTTTTTGTTAACATGTATTTTTTATTTGTATGTGAAATAACTTGGAGAAAAATTTGCTTTAATAAAACATCAGCTGTGTTTTATTTTTCTTTAGTTTATTTAAAAAAATTTTAAAGCAATAACAGGCCCCAAACCATCTCGGCAAATCAGCAGACTTGCAGAAGATTAAGGATAGCTCATATAAAAGGTCAGGACTGAATGTATCAATTGGAGGAGGAAAGGCGAAAATGAAAACAGCAGCTGAATATTAAACCAATGCAGTAATAATAATTTCAGTAGTATGTCCCATTAGCATTGTATCTTTATCCAAATTTGGGTATGAAACAAATACAGGGGCCTATAGCTAATACCGCTGCTGTTCCCACATTTCATACCTTCCTCAGGCATTTTCTGACCAAAATATTTTGTCATCTATGAAAAGCTGCAGTTACAACAGTTGGATAGAGAGTCCTATGAAATAGCTAATAGCACTTTTAATACCTGGACTATTTCATTTGACAAAATGAAGAATTAAAGAGGAGGAAGTGCGAAAAGTAGAGAGTTGTCAGTGCCATGCACCTTGAGATCTTGCACAAACTTGAGCATAAATATTTGACCAAAATAAACCTTGCACCAAGCCCAAACTCATGGGAGACTTCCCTATATGCTACTTACAGAGAGTATTCAGGCACTGCATCCTTGAAAGCAGAGAGTTCTCGCACATATTCATTATAAAACCATTTCACTTTGAAGTGCAAATTCATATAATCTGTGCTTTTGCATAACCGCTGCTTTTCATGTTCTGTAAAAGAATGAGTTGAAATAAAAGCATTTAATAGCATTCTAACAGTAAATATCATTCTTGTGCCTCAATGCACTAGTAACATAATAATACAGTACTTGCATTTTAAAGCACAATTGGTTTGATTTTTTTAGACGTAATAGCACCCACAGTTTCAATCTTCAGGTTTGGAGTACCCTTAGGAAGAACAAAACAAAGACCGGACCAGAAGTCAGGCTTTTCAACTCTCTTCACCGCAGAGAGGAAAACCCACAAACTTGCTGACTTCCTGTTCTTTAGATGCTTCTTTGGTTGTTACAAAATGGTTAAGAAGCTGTGTCAGGTGGCAAGGTAGAAAAGACAACTATAGCTGTGCAGTAGCCAAATGAAGTAACAACTATAAATGCCAGTCCTATATGAGTCTGCGAAACCTGCATTAGTAAATGGCCTGCATTTGCCACATATAGTTAAGAAAAAGAAAGTGGAGACAACTCTGCAGGTCTACAGCCATCTGATTTATACACGGCACAAGTAGAAAAGCTGGTTTAATGAAGCGTTTTTGAAGTTTTTCAAATGGGCTTCTCCACCTTCTCAGTGTCCTGTTTTCAACATAATGGATATGCAGATGATCATGGATGGCAGGAGTCTTGGAGCCACCTGTAACCACTTTCTGCATTTGTAAAGTCTGATTTAATTGGTTTGGAACAAATGTCCATCTTTATTCCAGGATTATGATCCCTGTTTTAGCTTATCCACAATGCTCTGCAGCATTCCCCATCCACCCCCTTCAGGCCCTGGACAGCTCCATTCTTTCTCTCCATTAGCTAACGGGCACCTTATCCTTGCTCAAATCTTTCATTTCCTTCTCCCACAGCAGGAAACCATGGATCCACAAATCTTGGGCAGAGTAATCTTTCCTTCACTTACTGCTCACAGCTTCCTAAAATCTCCACAGATCTCATCTGTTTGAGGTGTCATGTCACTTGCACATTCTTCCTTAAGCAAAAGACTAATCTCTTTTCCCAGCTCCCTTAAAAAGTGACCCAATACAGATGCTTGGCAGGAATGACATTCTTGTGTAAATAGTATGTATGAAGAACTCACCTCTTTCAAACCTCCTTTTTGCTCCTTCTGCTTGCATCATAACATAGTATTACACAAATTTTTCACATATATTTGGATGTGAACCTGATTTTATGTAACAGCAGGAGCATCCCATTCTCTCTCATACACACACGTGAATATACCACTCAGTCCTCTGTCCGTGCAAATGCACTGTGAAATACACATTCCGTGTTTTTCAGATCTGACCAGGTACATTAACAGGAAATTTTTACTTTTATTATTATGCCAAATCAGCACTCTAGTAATATCACCATACCAAACAAGAAATGTGTTTCAGAAGCGTATTATTATGCAGTGAATTACTAAGTTTTTTGGGAATCAGCTTATGAAGACCCCCTGTGGGCTCTTATTGCCTTTTTAGCACTGTATTAGCATTTTCATCTCCAGTGCCTTTTCATCACACTCCAGAAAAATCAGTAAATCAGTTTCTGTCTAAATATTGCATTTGTTCATGCCCAATTGCTACTTGAGAGTACTACAAATTCTCCCTAGCATAATATCATTGGTTACTAGCCTTAAACAGAACCACAGAGAGAAAGATGTATGTGTACTCTCATGGTTCTTACTTTCTACAGACCTGAGGAATCTTATTTTTTTATTCTGGTAGGAGTTTTTCCACAATCTATTATTGTAGACACCTAGATGACCAAACATTTGCTTAACAAAAGGTAGTTCTTACAAGTGATACCAGTCTTTGACTGAGAACAATTATCTTATTGCTATCAAATTCACTGCACATCTACTGCTTAAGTCATTATTAAGAAAAATCTATCTTATATTGCATCCCAATAGAGTGGAATTTCTGAAACAAATGGCATTTTTTCATTCAAGTGTTCCATGAATGGGTTATTAGATTATACAATGCAACTTAAGACAGCATCACAAACCAAGCAAATGCATATTTCAATTTTAGAAATGAGATGCTGCTAACAATGGGCAAACTTGTCCGGGGGGGGTACAACTTATACAATATCATTTATTTATATTTTCTCTTTTAAGTTAAGATCTAAATTACAACATATTAGAAATGAGCACAGAAGTAATTCGTGAATAATAGAGTTTTTTTCTCCAGGCTATTATACCTTGGAAAGAATATTTCAAAAGAGTCTCCTAGGATATTTCTTGTAGCTACATATAAGTGAAAAATGCATCCTCAATTCCTAATATTAACCTATGAGAACATCAGAAAATACTTCACATGATCTACAAAGTCATTTTGTATCCATGCATATTACCTCTTCAGTTTATATAAAACAAAGAACAGAGAAAACAGGTGCCCATATGAGTCAGCCCATGACAATTTTAACTGGATGATATTACATGGGTTTATCCCCAGTAACAATGGATTTCGGTTAGAAAGCATAAGAACATCACTGTAGGCATTCTAAATTTAGATTAAGACCCATGGATTGCTTTCTTCATTTCTGAAAAACTTGCACAAGTTAATGTCAACGTGAAACAACACAGGTTATATGTATGCAGTTTGGAGATGTGTCTTTTTTTCCTGGAAGGAAAGCTGGCACCATGTTTTCCTATACAGATATATCCATTTTGGACTTTTGCACAATATAGTAGCTGCACAATACAACTCTTTCTAAAAAAGTCCACTCTCGCTTTGCAAAATTATTATAATACTGAGTCAGCCTTGAACTAAACCTGCCAATTGTATGCTGTGCAAACGTGTTCAGCAAAGATTATGATAGAAATACTAGACCTTTCTCATAACTGATTCTAGATAAATGGAATCTCCAGTATAGCAAACCTAATATTATTAATCTTTTTTTTGTGCTGCGACTTTTATGAAACGTTCCTTATAGAGCAGCATATTTTTATAAGCATCTATTAATCTACTGAGTTTCATAACAAGGACATTTGCAGTTCCCATTAGTGATAATGGCACATTATTCTATATTACTGTATCATGAATCAATGAAAAAAATACTGATAAGATTTCTGTAAACTGTGTGTATGGGGCACTTTAGCTGCTTTTATCTATCGCAGTTCCAGTAAGAGAATCTTTTACAGTATTGATTACACTGTGGGTTTTTTTTAATATCTCCTTAGGGGTAATGCTCCAATGCACATATGCTTTCCACAGGTTTGCAGTAATAGACGTTGTAACTGCGACTACAATGAAAACTGTATAAAGAGTCGTTCCATCTCAGTTGTACAAATTACAATTACAGTAACACCTTTAAGAAGACTTCCACTAAGCAAAAGCACGGAGAAAAAATCCTAAATCTTTGCTTGTTTGTATAACCAAGAAAGAAGAGAGATTTTTTTTTTTTAAAGTCTATTATGTGGAATGCATTAATATATGCAGATGTGTTTGCTGTGTGATGGAATCAGCCGCTGACCTGGTGACACTGTATCTAGCAAATAATCTAATTGCAGACAACTGTTCTTTTACAGAAAAACGTATAAAGAGACATTTTAGGAAGGACTATAATCCAGGGTACTTTCCTCACAGGCTTGTGACCAAACAGCAATACTTTGGAATCATGTTTGATTTCTTGCTCATTTTCCCAGCAATTGCTAAAGAAAGCCGAGAAGTTTTTCTTAAGGCAGCAAACAAAAAGAAACTGCAATACAACTATTATGTTTTGGTCTGATGTTTGTAGTGTTACAGTATTTTGTCAATAAAGTCATAATGATAACTTATTAAGCAGAAACATCTACATGACACTAAAGACACAATGCCATTTAACAAACTGGAATAGAATCCAGTTCACCACAGAATCCTTTTTCCTTTTTAACCTTGAGGTAGTAACACCATGAGTATCCATGTAATTTTTGCTAAGTAGTAGTTGCTAAAAAAGGAAAAAAGGGTAATCGTAACAACCTTCATAAAATATGAACATTTTAAATATTCAGGTAATCAATTTGATTAATAAGGGAAATCTAATTTTCCCTTATTTGGGTACAAAAGCTGAAAGCAAATTTTTTTTTTATACAGCAGTTTCCTAGCCATTGTTTTTTGTAACAACATACAGTTAAACTGCTGAAGGATTCTAATGAGGTGGTTTTAAAGAATATTTCAAATTCTTATGAACAAAAACTGCAAGAAGGAAATTTGTCTGTAAAAATGAACAAATTGACTAGATACACATAAATATATATGAATATCTAAAAAAAGCTTGTCCAGTTTCCAGGCTTTAAAGATAATGTTTCAGAGATTAATAACTACTACAAAGAATATTTACATGTAGCAAATTAATTATATCACAGCCAGTTGGTTTGACTGTTACATATGTGCTACTGCACTACAGTTTGTTAAAGCAGAAATGATTGAGACTAAGCATAAGGGAATTGTGTTTGGATTAACTGCAAAATTTCCCATCAAAACTCAGATGCTATTTTCAACCATTGTGACATAATTCCATGCTATTTGCAATAATTACTTACCAATCATTCTAGAGACTACCAGCTGCGTATTTTGTCTATTTCTTTCAGAACTGCCATTTCAGAAAACCTGCTATTTCCAAACTTTCAGTCACATAAGTGGGAGTCATAGAATCATTTAGGTTGAAAAAGACCTTTAAGATCATCAAGTCCAACTGTTAGCCTAGCACTGCCAAGCCCACCACTAAACTGCATCTCCTTAAGCACCACGTTGACAAGTCTTTTAAATACTTCCAGGGATGGTGCCTCAGCCACTTCCCTGGGCAGCCTGTTCCAAGGCTTGACAACACTT